GAAAGCATAATATTGAAAAAAGGAGGGTTAAAAAAGTATGAAGGTTTCCGAATGCATGAAACAGATAGCTGGGAATGTCTACTATATAAAAGGGCATCCAAAATAAACAATTCAGCAAGTTCACTTCTGTCAACAGGCAAATAATCAATATCAATTTTGAAATATCCAATAAAACAAAATGCCTTCCGAAAAGTTAGAAATTACCCAGGATAATTCTTTTTGTCCTTTTTTTTTTGGGGGGGGGGGGGGGTGTTCCTTGTAAAAAAAAAAAATAATGTGAAAAACGACTTTTGACACACATCATCTCTGAGTATACGGAAAGCTATCTCACTTATAAATGCAGTCGATGTATATTATCCCTCAGACTTCCCTAGAAATCATCTCCTGTTTAACTTACTTGCATGAAATGAACATGGAACTGAGAAGAAAAGGAAGACCCTTGCAATAAACATGCCTTTCTATTATACACGAAGAGTTTGATAAAATATATATTATCTTTTAGAACATATCCCGTTAAAACATTTGCTCCTTGTTTTTTTATACAGTGTGCTGAATTGAATTTTGAAGGTGTCATATCCTACTGCAAAATGACTTTTTTGAAGTTGTGACAGATCGAGTGCTCGTTGTCTGTTTTTTAACTACAAGTTTTTCAGTTGTAAAAATCTTATTTACCGGACTGAACAACAGGTGCGAGAAATAACGAAATCAGCACATAAAAAACTGAAATTATTAAAGTGAGATGAAACCATAGCCCCCTGAACACCGATGTCAATAGTAACCGTCTGAAACAGGTGAAGGAGTTTAAATATCTTGCCAATACCTTTCCTGAAAACGGGCTCATAGTCAGAGAAATAGAAATGCTAACTAAAAAGCAAACGCCTTCACCTTCCAGCTCGCACCTTTCCTATCTCACCCAAACATCTCAATGGACACGACGAGACAGCTTATCACTTCGATTTTTATACCAGCATTGTGCCACCAGTGCCAGAGCCAGACCTAGAATTAAGTAGAATCCAAGAGAGCAAAATCACTGAATGCAAAATCACAAAACAGGCAGAGAAATGAAGAAGAGCTGCTATTGACACGGAGTGCTGGTTTGGCCATCTGTTACGTATGTCACCTAGTCAGCCAGCCTCGAGCGCCTATAACACCAAGCACTCAGGCTATAAGGGAAGAGGAAGGCCACGCAAAAGGTGGATTGAAGGAGTCAATTACAATAGTCCAATTGAAAGAGCTGCTGAGCTGGCCTACCACAGAAAACGGTATCTCCCCTGGATCATTAACAGCAATAGAGGATGAAACAGTAAAAGTAAAAGTAAGCAACATCTTATTGAAGTTGTCAGAGATCAACGATTTCTCCTCAAGGAATTGAGAAGAGAAGCAACCCCGGCAAGTCATGCTTGTTTGAGTTGTCTAACTTGCTGCTACCTCGGAAAAAATAATATCCTACTTTACTGTAAACTATTCTTTCTGAACCCAATCAGTATCTTGCGTTTACTACGAGCGTCATGATCATTATTGAGCGAAAATCAAATAGTTCTGTTGCTTGTCTAGTAAAATCTCTTTTCGAACCTTTTTTTTCTTGAATAAAGAGGAAGAAATATTACACAGAGAGGCGCAATGGAAAAAGGGTGGTTCTCAAGAGCTAAGGGAAGTAATTCTTTATTAAATCCTTTTGCTATTATTACAGGTTTATTTCCCCTCCGTTAGATCTACCATTTGGAAGTTCAATATTTTGGAAGTTGAATAACAACACTTTTCCAAAAGAAGAAAAAGAAATCTTAATGGCAAAAAAACCCCCAAAACAAACAATATCAAAATAACTTTAATGTTTGAATAACCAACAATGAAAAATGAGAAAACGCGAAAACAATTAATGCTGCCACTAAAAGTAACTGTGAAAATTTCACTATCTAAGAAAAAGAAAGTACATTACTTGAATGTCCGGAGGTTTCCGGACTCGAGTGAGTATTCGCATGGGGTAAATACTCGAGTACTCGAGGGCTTGCACTCCCCTAGTACCAATCATTTGCAGTCATTGCTCTACTCCAATCATCCCCCTCCCTCCCAACCCTCCCTCCCCCCCCCTTAAGCCGTGACACACGCTCAGTGTTACATCGCCTCTCTCTCTCTCTCTCTCTCTCTCTCTCTCTCTCTCTCTCTCTCTGACACACACACAAACACACTCATATACACACATGCATGCACGCACCTCCCCAACATCAAACTCATAATAATATGTATTTACACTCAAACACAAAACCTTTGTAAAACGAGCATAATTTATTCGGACAAAGTTCTACATTTTGTGAGAAGAATCCATCAGCAACAGGCCAAAGAGTGAAATATCATATGATCTATAATCATCCAGCTAAGAGTAACTATTCCGCACAAAATCGGCCAGTGGGTGGTTGGCGAGTGCTGTGGTGTGGTTTGCGCCTTCTTTCCTATCAAACATCTATCTTCCTTACTCCTCTTTCTTTTCTTTGCATGTTACTCTCTAATAACACATTAAAGCTTCAGCACTTGTAGGCCGAAAAACTCTTATAAAAAACTTAACAGAAGTAATCAGGAGAAATGTGTGGCTCCGACAAACGGATTTATTTTCGACGGGAGGGCGAAAACAGGGGG